TACACGTTTCTCAAGGCTAAGGGCTAGCTAGCAAGTGGCACCCATGTTAGCTTCGAAAGCTACGGTTATCAAGTGGGACCCGGGTTAGCCTTACGTTTCATCATTGTTACATTGTTTTCATCGTCGATTTAATTCCTCGCAAGTTATGTGAAGGTACACATGTTTCAACACATATTAGCACTGCTAACACGTCTCACAAACAGCATCAGCTAGCATCTGGTACCTAGCACTTGTTTTAGTGTGATGCAACTGAAATGAACTTACCCATGGTAGTTGGCAACCGAACACCCGAATCTACGCCGTTGTGCTCTACTAGGGACTCTTGTGTCGTCCATTGGGGGCGACTGTGGGTCAGTGGGGAGCAGGTCGTCCTCCAATCAGAGGGTTGTCGGTTCGATCCCAGGCTCTGCTAACCCGCATGTCGTTGTGTCCTTAGGCAAGACACTTAACCCAACATGGCTCCTGTAGCTGCGACTACAGTGTGTGGATGTTAGTGACTGATGGGCAGGTGTCACCGTGTGTGGTTCTCCTGTCATCAGGGTGTCAATGGGTGAATGATGTCATGTGGTGTTAAAGCGCTTTGAGTGGTCAGAAGACTAGAAAAGCGCCGTACAAGTACAGTCCATTTACCATTTACCATTACCATAGCGTTGTTTGTTTGTTTTCTGCCGGCCAGGCTCCCAGCGGTCTCTTTGGACTTCCGGGTCACGACCTGGGAGGGAGGAGGGATCTCAAGCTCCTGGGTTCTTATCTCAACCTGCAGCTTCTCGTAACTGGCACGGAGAATGTCCTTCACATGTGTATAAAAACTCAGCGTTCTTACTGCTCGGAGACGCCATCTCCACCGAGCACCGTGATACGTGCCTGTGTATTTGACCTCCTGCTTGCAAGCAATAAATGGACTTTTTGCAACTTTGATCATCCATCAAGACTCTGTTTTATCAGACAAATCATTCTCTTCTACCGAGCTTTTATTGAAATATTCCACAACAATTTGGCGTCACGAACAGGATTCACTGACCGTCCGTCGGGCTCCAGGGGACCGTCCGGGGAAAAAGGCCTTTTCCAGGATCACCAGCTGATGATCCTGCCTCATACCTCCTCAGACAAGAGAGAAAGGACGGGCGGAAACCAGAGGAGTCCTGATCGACGTCACGTGTATCCAGCGAAAAAGAATTAATTTCTACAAACTCGGGTAAGAAGTTGAAATTCCGATTATAAAGTCGCACTAAGAGTTGAACATAGAGACAGATGACTGATCAAGTGGTTGTGATAGTTCGGGGAATTATTTATTTATTTTTGAGTACATGATTCCGGGATATTTCTAATGCATCATTTTATGTGAAGGTAGATCGGATCGTGTACGATAGAGATTTCACTCGGAACAAGTTCTCCGAGATCGTAACGCAGATCGCTTGACTACCCGGGTAAAATAAGACCGTTGCTGTTGACCAAACGTGAACCGTGGAAATAGCCTATACGTGAATTTCCTGCTGAAGCAGGTAAAACGATATCACTGTTCTTGTTAACCAGACGTGAGTTCTACTGAATCACCTTTAGAACAAGATCGTGGCAAAATCCAAGCGTGAGTTTTTGCAAAGTTTTTCCTTGAGTAAAGAAACTCCGCCTCACGCTGACGGCTGTATTGTAATAAGTAAACCGGTAGGGTCCACCAGTAAAAGATGGGTGGCCAGTCCGCCAAACACACGGAACCGTCGGGTCCGATTGTGGCAATGATGCAGCAGAAATACGGGAGAACATGTACAGAGTGTCGCCCATACTGGACAAAAGAGTTTGGGTTTCCAGAAAACGGCTCGTTGAGTGCCGCTAAACTTAAAACGTTAAGAGGGGATTTGGAAGGTTAAAGGATTTAAAAGTGGTAATAAGGTCAAAGTGAAAGACCTGGAAATAATGGAGGAAACCCAGACACGTCTGGCACAATGGGAAACGGGATGTGAATGATGGAGAGAAAACAGATGATGGAGAGCTCACGTGTGAAGGGACGACTACTGCTGCCTCTCCAAAACAGGGAAGTGACACGCGATCGTATCAATACCGAAACCCAACACCAAAAAACAGCTGACGTCCTTTTTGGGCATGTGCTCATACTGTCGACCATTTATTCCAATCTACTCACGAATGGAACAACCGTCATCAAACTTAATCCACGGGAAACATCTTCACATCTTCACACACATGAAACGTGCTCGGTGACGTGCGAGTCAGTGGCGCAAGACGTCCAACCATCAGCTGTTATTGCAACTCAACGCTTCATCTCTCGTTTTACTTTCTCGTACAGACGAGGGATTTGTTTCTACCTGGAATGTGGAACCTCGGCTCCAGTATGTTGAGGAGGTATTGGAAGCCCTCGTTTTCACCAGCACTGTGAGGCTGTATATCTTTACAGATAAATAAGGCAATGGCTGCGCTTATTGCCTGTGATCGAGCTGAGTCGGTAGCCAGCGGCATGAAAGAAAGTGGCGATACGTTTCTCAGTGTGCTCGGCAGGTGTACTGGTAGAGCTCGCCACTGTAGCCACACCTGAATCTGAGGAGGAGGCAGACGTCTCAGCGCGTCGCCTCTTCAGGTGCGTCCCTAAATCAGCTGTACTTTATGGCAGCGCGACGTATTTTATTTTATCCACTTTCCCGTCTTTCTTTGGAAATCCAAAGTGTTGCCAAACCTTGGATTCATTGCAAGTTTTCGGGACGTCTACCTCTCCATCCGCCATGGTAACGCTCTCCCACGCGCTCTCCTCCAACTCCAGACTTCACGAGAATCGCCCACTGACAGCAGAGGAGACGAGCGCGCTTAGAAACAGAGAGGAGGCGTCTATCCAAGTATGAAACGATTGGTCACAAATCATTGGACGCATTTCTAAATATTAAATGGTGTTCGCCTCCACGCGATTCTGTATGAATACATCGGATTATACCGATGCAAAAATGTTAGAAACGATGCACCGCGATTCATCCCACAAGGTATCCGGTGCACACTTTGTTGATCCGGGCCGACGCATCGATGCGAACCGGTGAATCTCCCCATCCCCACTCCAGAGATTCAAACCCCCTCCTGCGTGATGCGTCCCCACGGAGGTTCCTTTAATGCAGCGTCGCTCCTTCAGGGACGGGGGCGAGCGCCCAGGACCTGATGGAGGACGAGGAGACGGAGGCCGCGGACGAAGACGAGGACGACGAGGCGGAAGTGGAGGACGATGAGAACGTGGAGCTGGTGACGGATTAGATATCTCACTCCTCTGGCGCTGAGAGTCATTCTCACTCCTCAGCTTCTTTCCTTCTTCTTGTTCCTGGCAGCTCGTTACATTTGTGAAGCTGATGACGTTTCACTTGAAGCACGTTGATGAAGATGATGATGAAGATGTTGATGATGAGACGAAGCTGCTGCTGAAACAAACTTGTTTGTTTACAGACGGAAGAAAAGAGGAAGAGGAGGAGGCGTCGGTCGGAGAGGTGAAGGCGTCCCCCAACGCAGACACCACCATCCTCTTCGTCAAAGGAGACGGTAAGGTCCCTCCATGCTTCCTTATCTCCTTAAGCAAAGGAAACAAGTGATCAAATGAAGCTTTATTTTATTTTACATCCCGTCCTTTGGTAGTAAAGTCATATTCACGTTCATTCAAAGCAGCCGTGTGACGCCGGAGAGAAGACGATATTTCAGCTGTTTACCGGCAGAATGAACTCTTCATCTCCTCCTCCTCCTCCTCCTTCTCCTTCAGACTTCCCTGCCAACGAAATCGTGAAGTTCCTGCTCGGTTTCTCCAACAAAGGACCGGAGAACTTCGTGGTGGAGTCTCTGGACGCCTCCTTCCGTTACCCACAGGTACCACGACCTTTAACCTCTCCGTGATGCGTTCAGGGACCATTACAACTGTACGGCGATGTGTTCACGGGTAATATGTAAAATGTAGTTTTAGTCATAAACTTTTCCTTTTAATATAAAATAGCAGATATGAATTATTATGCGTTAAGCTTCTTAAACTATAAGAACTTTACAGCATTAAAAATACGACATGAATAATTGATACAATTTCTAAATGTATCAATGTTTTATTCCCTTTTTAAAGAGAAAACTACTGTAGATGACTCGAGCAAAGCGAAAGTAGTCGTTATTATTTCTCACGGTGATGTAATCGGCGCTCCTCTCTGGCCCCGCCCCCTTCCCTTTAGGATTACCAGTTCTACATCCAGAACTTCACGGCGCTGCAGCTCGGCATCGAGGTTCCCGCCAGCCGGCAGGCCACCTTCGAGTACTCCTTCATCCCCGCCGAGCCCATGGGGGGGCGGCCCTTCGGCCTGGTCATCAACCTCAACTACAAGGACGCCAACGTAAGCCCCGCCCCCCCATGGGGATAGATTTGATTGGTTTCTCGAGTCTCTGACGCCCACAGAAGGGATTCGTTTTCATCGGAGTAACCAGAGCGCACATCGGCGTCCCGAGGCGTCCTCACTCGTCCCTGAAAGTCTCTAATGAGTAAAAGTTGTCTTCTCGTAGGGGAACATCTTCCAGGACGCCGTGTTCAACCAGACGGTCACCATCACGGAGCGCGAGGACGGACTGGACGGAGAGACGTAAGCGTCCACGCCGCCTCACCTCCGTCTCACGTCCTGCTCCCTCACTTACTCCTCTTCCTCGTCTCTGCAGCATCTTCCTCTACGTCTTCCTGTCGGGCCTCGGGCTGCTGGTCGTCGTCGGGCTTCACCAGCTGATCGAGTCCAGGAAGGTACAGATGTGGACTCCAGTCAGACGCCGCAGCATCTGTGTCGGTCACGTGACGACGATGTCATCGTTTCTGAGCAGCTCAGAGTTGGACGTCGAGCAGAATCTGTGTCCTCACGTCTGACTCTTTGTCCTCAGAGGAGACGCCCAGCGCCAAAGGTGGAGATGGGGACCTCCAGCCACAACGACGTGGACCTCAGCTGGATCCCTCAGGAGACCCTCAACCAGATCAGTAGGGCTCCTCTCTCTCCTTCTGTCTCTCCCTTTGTCTCCTTCTGTCTCTCTGCTTCTTCTGGAAGTTGATCCTCATGATGAATATTTGAAAGCATCTAAAAGGCTTCAGAGGTTTTGTAGAGAACATAAAGATATAAAGTGACATTCTTTTGTTGCTCGGACGCTTTCATCTCTGCTGCCGTTTTTCTCGCAGAATCAGCTGTTCTCTCCCTGTTTGACCTTTAACCTCCACTCTGCATGAGGGTCACTCACTGTTTCTCTCTCATGTTTCCCTGCGTCTCCAGTGCAGAGTCGCAGAGGTGAGATGTGTGTGTGTGTGTGTGTGTTGCTTAAGAGATGAAATAACTTAATGAACAACACGCAGCAAAACGTCTTCAGCCCCCGTTTAAACAGAATGAAACATCTTCATCACGGAGGTGACTTCTCTTCTCTTCTTCTCTCCAGACAAAGCGTCTCCCAGAAGATCTTTAAGATGTTTTTTAAATGTGCAGGAAATAAAGTTTGATTTGATGTCGTCTTTGTTTGTTCTGATAAGTGTTTACGACACATTGATGTATAAACGTGTTATAACTTAATAGTTGAAGTAGGAAAACAAATTAAAGCTGAAACTTTAAAATGAAGAAAAGAACTAAATAATCAAGTCACTTTTGAGACGATTGTTTCGCTTTTATTATTAATTTCCTGCTGCAGTAATAAGACTTTAATCATACAAGTATGTCAGCAAAGTAATACATGGAGGGACTAAATATACTGTTAGAAACAGAAGCACCTGATATTATCTCATTAAACATTTGAAGTTGAAATC